CGGGTTCGAATCCCCGTCCCATCAAACATGCTCGCTCTTTCAGCCGTGGGGGCGTTATAATGTGACGGTCAATCCCACTATTCGTTGGTAAAAGAGTAGCCCAAGAGTTGGCGGTGGGTGGTGATGACTAGCTGCCTTCCCTCTAGTCTTACACTGCTAAATTAGGGACGGCTAGCGCAGATAGCCCTCGTGTAGCTTTGCGTGAAATTAAAAACAAAAACAAAAAAAGAATACTAAAAATTACATTTCACGGATATGTGTGCAAATAGATGTAAATATATCATTGCTGATGGTTTATGTCTTTATTAGTAAAGATATCTTGTGTTTTTCTACCTAGGAGATCTGGACCTGTTTCAAGCAGTGATAGGAGGACAGGCGCACCTACCATGTGACGTCACTGCTCCTTCATCTGATGACTCTGTGTCGCTTGTATTGTGGTATCGGAGTAACATCAACGCTCCTATTTTTAGTGTAGACTGCAGAAATGGGCCTTTAGAGAATTCCCAACACTTTCCCAGTGATTATTTAGGAAAGCGCGGGACTTTTGACCTGAGTACTAGACCTGCCGTATTCACCATTAACCCTGTTTTGCCCGAAGACGAAGGAAAATATCGGTGCCGTATAGACTATCGCCGAGCTCGAACCTTTAATGTTAGAATGAAACTACAAGTCATCAGTAAGTAAAATGCGAAGATTTTGTAAATCCTCGAGTTTGTCACAAAGCAAAGGGTGTTTAATAACCATTTAGGTATTAAGATGAAGACATCGACACATCATTTGGATTTGGAACTTACCACAAGTTTGTTAACTATTTTGAATACGCAAATTAACAACCTGTTTTATACCTGTAGGGTCCAACTATTTAAATCTATTGAATAATTTTATCTATTTTTGCTTGTTACAACAGTCAGTTTATAGAACTGGCTACAAAAGTGGGTGAAATCATTCATTTTATATTCAAAACACAAATAAAACCCCCTACAGTAATTAGTGAGATGAATTTTTATATTGACGGTATTTTTGTTTACATTTTTGTATGTGACTATTACTAAAGACCCTGTAACCAACAAAGTCATGGCCCCTCAATAATTTTAGTGCGTAAACAGCTTAGAGAAAACGGTTTTCAAAGACTGGTGGGACACCATCGGGAATCTTATGGTTAATTATAAAATTGGTCATTATCCTATCGGATTTTTTTCTTCTTCATGATTTTCGAGTAAAGCTACGCAAAATGTTATTTACGGTCACTAAGTTTAAAAGGATAGGCTAAAGGGAAGGCAATAGGTCAACGATATCCACCGCCAACTCTTTGGCTAGTCTTACATGACCGAATACTGAGATTTGACCGTCATTCTTATAGCTCACTCCTGGTCCCAAAGAACATATCTCGTTTTTGCAGCAACGGTACGTTGAATTCACAGTTAGGGCATTTTAACTAATAGGTCACGCCCTGCGCACTTTAATACTATATTACAAACCTGTATAGACATAGAAAGTGTTCCAGTGTTAAATGTTGATTTTTTTGTTTAAAAAGAAAGCTAAAGAACCGTTATAGGTTGAAATATTCAGGTGAGACTCTCATTTAACAGGAAAAACGTTTACGTGATCGATAGGATACAGTACCCGTGCTTATTGTTGATTCAACACGAAGCCTACTAATTGAAACAACTAGCACCATCAATAAAACATCACGAATTGTCATATCATTTGATAGATTTCTGTGTACTTATCATTAGTTTGAAATGGACTTTTTATTTCTGATACCAGTAATGAATGAGGATCAGTAAAGTATTTTGCAAACAAAAGAATTGTATTTTTTTGGTTAGCTTCGATTTGTTTAAAATAACAGGGATTGTTAAAAGAGGCGAATGAAGGGTACTGTTGTGTAATAGATGTTGAAGACCTGTTGGATGAATCAATTTATTATCGTTTTCATTCCAGTGATAAATAAAAACACGTGAGCTAAATTGTTAAGGAATGAGCGTGAGGAAAAATAGAAAATGTTGGATATAAACTGCTAAATCGTAAGTCGTTGCTTCTGAATTTACAAAAATAGTCGTTTTTGGCTCTGATCGGAATATATTATTGAATACATATGTTTCACTCTCAAATATTCGAATTTTACATTTAGACTGCTTTGTCGGAATTATATTTGTCAAGTTAAATAACAGTTCAATTTAAGATCAAAAGAATAGTTCTCGAAAAAGTATAAAATGTGTGATTCAGTTAGACATATATATGTGTATGTATATATGCCATCTATTGGAATTGTTAATAAAGTGAAACGAATGTAGGGTCACGACAAAATAATAATGATATTCGTTCGAATACTTACAAAGGCGGAGACGTTGCGATTAATCTTATGTGTGTATATGAATGGGAGATTCTTTGTCTGCACAAACCATAAATCAACATACAGTGGATTGAAGACCGGAAAAAATTGTGTCTTCCAGATGGGCATCGGTTCTTGAAGAGTAAATCACCAGTTTCACCGCGTCTTTTACGACGAAATTGAATGAATTGTAAATTTTCTTATTGTTTCGGGTTTTTAAAAAAAACCTGTTTGAGCTATTATAAATTTACTTTGAATGATAAATAGTAAAGTCATAAAATATTATATCGTAATAATCTTTTATAGGAAAATTTCTTTGTTTCCATTGCTAAAGTTACGAAAAAAATATGAAAAATCCAACTATTAACTACTCCGAATGAACGGTAATTTAGCAGATAGAGCTTAGTGGTGTTTAATGAGCTTTTCTATATTAACAGTTTATCAAGACATAAGAAATTTCACTACACACTAACGCAGAGCTGGAGTACTTCGTATGTAGTTGTGAGTACATTTTATTAGGCTAGATGCAATACAGGATAATTACCATTTGTGGGTTCTACGTCTTCTTACGTTTATCAATACAGGATGGTTACCCCATCGTTATTACTAGGTATTATTACGCTATATGAAATACAGGGTTATAACCATTCGTTGATACTAGGCCTTATTACGTTAGTTGAAATATAGGATGGTTACCACTCGTGGATACTAGGCCTTGTTACGTTAAAATAAAAGATGCAGGGTGTTAACCATTATTTGGTACTAGGCCTTATTATGTTAGTTAAACTGAAGAATAGTTACCACTCGTGGGTACCAAGTCTTGTTAGGCTTGGTGCATTAGACGATAATAACTACCCGTGAGTACTATAATTTATTAGGTTAGGCGCAGTACAGTATAGTATTCTACTGGTTATTTGAAATTTTTAGGCATGATAAGAAACAGGTTAATAATAGTCAGTAGGCAATACGCCTATTTGAGTGAAGTACGATAAAAAGAAGGAAAACTATAAATATAATATTTATTTTTCTGATTTTGTATTTGAAATATATAAATCATATTTCTCTGTTTACAGGAAATATATAAATCACGTAGAAAGTTTTGAAGTCATTAATGACAAAAATTCAAGTAAAAAATAAAATAGTTTAAGAGAAATCAAACTGAATTACACAGTTTGTCTTGCAGTGTTTTGTAAGCACCAAAACATTTTCAATGATCAACGGAAGTTGAGAATTTTTTTTATATAAAATGTACGTTTGTGTCTATATATGTATATACTAGCAGAGACCCGCAAAACATTTATGGTAAAATTAGTATCTTTATTGTATCATTACTTCTATAACTACAGGAGCATGGGCCTAAACCACGATTAATTATATTTCCAGTTAAGTAATTTAACAGGAATCAAATGAATGCCAACTATTAAGCTGATGTATCAGAATTATCAATTTTAAAATAATACAAAAGAATTATAATCGCACACACCGAAATCTGTAAGTCCACTTGTCTTAGGCCTAATATTAGTTAAACCTTTATTAAGTACGGCCAATATTCGATAGAGATAAGTTACTACTATAAATTGTGTACGTATTTTACTTTAGTTTAGTTAGGGCTAGACTTTACCATACTTAATACTATCAATAGATATATTTATAATGTTATTCTACGACCTAACAATAGACATTTTTTTTGGCGTATTTAAACACAATGCTGTAGGAAGGGCGGAGGCCCCCTGGTTTTATTATATACAAAACTCCAATTGTGTTCCAATTTAGATTTAACTGGATTTGTGAACTTCTAGGATATCGACAGCCCCGACGAAGCTGCAATAGCTAAATATCGAGCTAATAAAGTTACATTCCGGAGATATAGGTCGTGATTATATTTACGTTTATAGAAGTGTCTCGCAATAAACTCCACTTTGCGTTAACAAAGTTAAGAATAAAGAGTAACTAGCATATAGCCCCTCAAAAATGACGGGGCAAGTACTACCACCCCACCCTATAATACACTCTAACCTCACATTTCATAGCTAACTGAAATAAATAAATTTTGCGAAATCAAGCTTGACCAACAAAGAGGCAGAAAAGTGCAGTCGACGCAGTCAAACGTCGGTAAATTCCTTTGTGAGCCAATCAACATTAAGATAATTTATGAAGTGAATTCGTAGCGTATTCATAGAATAATTATTGGTAAAAATCAATTAGATTAACAACTTCTAATATATAGAAAACCAGTGCTTTTATGTCATGTCGCTTAGCAACAAAAGTATAACTTAATATTGTTGTTAGTCTGTGTACTAAAAGTATAAAATGAAATGTATAGACAACAAAACTGGAAAAAATATTTGTTGATTTCTTAATTTTAGTCTCCGTTGATTAAAAAAAGATTTGTTTTTTAAAACATTGGTGATATAACAGAAAATAACTCAATTCAGAAACGATTTAAGTTTAAAATTGAATCGATATTTTTACTTTCATGATAAATTTTATGCACTTGGCTCTAGGCTAGGTAATCCCAGCCTTAACTCTAGGCTTATTATACCAACACTCAATACACTTATAAGGTTTCACGGACCCCCCCCCCCTGACGGCTCCCTTGTACCCCCGCCACTAAAATCGTAATGGGTAGACAGTAATCGAACTATTTTATCTAGATAAGTATATTTTGGCTTTTTGACCCCCATCCCTATCTTGGGAAATCAAGCGTGACGTGATGGGACACACAGTGGCTTTTCTATAGGCTAGATAGATAATATAGTTTAATACATATATAGAAAGACCCATATACACACACACATACATACACGTAAGTTTCTGCGGACTTAATTAATGGACAGTTCATATGACATAAAGCAGAGTTCGAGATTAATGTAACTCACCTAAATGCATTATAAATATAATATTACAATAAATAGGTAACCGGTGAACATCTTTGTCGTTATGGTAACCAGAGTTAGTCTGAAAATGCATGAACTGGAATATCTTGGCGTTTCGTATAACTGTAACTGGATATCATGACGGAACACGAATATGTATTTATTACATGTAGCTGATGTTTAGATCAAAGAGTAGATTTTGGATGAGTGTTTGTAATATTTTAAATTACATTTTTTTTTTTGCTTTTGTTTATTTGTTTGTAGTTAAGCATAAAGCTACACATTGGGCTATCTGTGCTCTGCCCACCATGTGTATCGAAACCCGGTTTCTAGCGTTGTAGGTCCGCAGGCATACCGCTGTGCCACTGGTGGGCTTTTGCTTTTGTACTGGATGGTAATCTTTGTAGCCCCCCCCCTCCAGTGGTACAGTGGTATGTCTG